ACTAACCATTGTTTGAACTCTGTCATACTCTGAGAGAATGTGATAAGTGATAACATGATGGTAACTTATGATGGGCAAATTAGTTTGTAATGTTCCTTCCAGTATTGATTTTCAGTTATGGAAAGAGGTTTACCACTTGCAAATATAGCTCGACCTAATGTCTCATCTGCCTTTTCTTGATCCTCTTTTGACATTTTGCCCGCAAAGCTTGATAAAAAGCTTGATTATCTTGAACAGCTACTCATGGTGGATCGTGTATCTATTTGGTGACAGTGATCTTGAAAGCGAGGACCTGCTGCTTCTTCCCCCAGACCTGGCAGCTCAATGTTTTCATTTTCATTTTTTGCAAATCTGCTATTTCACTTGAGCTACCAAGTTCCTGCAACAAAAGGGGGAAAAGATTTTTATTTTTGCCTGTCCTAGTCTGGCCTCCTTTATCAGAAGGAGAAGGAGAAGAGGTAGGGAGCTTGCTTCCCTGCTGCCTGCTAGAAAGAACACTCTGCTGCTCAACTTCCTGCTCAGTTGCCCTGGGACTGCAGAGCCAAAGGGAAGTATAGTCCGCCCTCTGCCATCAGCCAGGGGACTAAGCTTGCTCTGCTGGGTTGAAATAGTTAACTATTTATCTATTATCACTTAAAAAAAAATTGTTAAGCCTAAGCCACTTTGGATGCTTCATGCGAGCAGAAAAGCAGGATACAAATATTTTAAATTAAATAATAGTCCAGAGTTGCATTAACAACTTTTAATATTATAATGTTATAAAATGATATAGATGCTAGTCTATACCATGTGTTGTTTTAACACATGGGTAGGTAATGTGTTTTTAGCTGGAGTGCCGAAAACCCCCACAATGCCTACCTTGGAAGGTGCCAGAGTGCCAGCATGCCAGAAAAACAAAATGAGGGCAGCGGGTATATGGCAGGATGCACCTGCTTGTGCCCCTGCCCCCCAGCCCAGGCTCTGTGGCTATCAGCAGCTACTCAGAACCTGGGATAGCTGCAAACATCTGCTGCCTCTCCGCCCGGCCCCCAGCTGCCTCCCGGCCCCCAGCTGCCTCCCGGCCCCAGGGTCCGGGGAGGCAGCAGATACTGGCAATGCTTCCTGCTGTGCTGCCCTCGCCACTGCTTCTGCAGAGCAGCATTGGAACCCAGTGCAGCAGGGCACAGCGGGGGGGTGTAGAAAGCTGCCTGCTGCTCGGAGCTCCTCCTGCCCTGGCCACACTTCATCTGCAGGTGGTGGCAGCAGCGAGGGGCACAATCCTGCGTGCTGCCCACACTGCTCCCCTGCACACAGGGGAAGTGTGACTTGGCAGCACGGAGCTTGCAGCAGCAGGCAGCTTTCTGTGTGGCCCCTCCGTACACTGCTGCTCTGGGTCACGCGTGCTGTGCTCTGGAGGGCCCAGGGGAGGGCAGCAAGGCCAGGAGCACAGCTTGTGCCACCCAGAGCAGCAGCAACACACAGCCACACCCCCTCGCAAACTCCAGGGCATAGGGTATGTTGGGGGTTGTGTGGTGTTTGTGGGGTGTGTAGTTCTGGTACACACTGTCCTCTCCTACAGTCAACGCTGGAGTGGGTGGGGTATGTGTATGTCTGTCTGTGTGTGGTTTGTGAGACCTCCCCATTACACCCCCCCCACCAACGGTGAAGTAGCAGGTGGGGGTGCTGGTGCCTGGCTCTGGCCAGGCATGCACGTTGCAGCAAGGAGCCTAGTCACCCTTGGGCCGTTTGTTTCCCCAGTGCTTCCCAAACTTGTGGGGCACAGGAGGGAAGCCCCAGGCACAAGAGCCAGCTGTTTTCCCTGCCCCAGCTTGCTCCAGTGCACAGGGCTTCACTCCTGTGCCCCATCAGTGAGGGGAGTGCAGGGGAACCAAATGGCCCGGCGGGGGCTACGCTTCTCTCAGTGCTGGCTGGAGCCAGGCACCAGCATTGAGCAGAGTCTGCCCCCCTGCCCTGGCTGCCTGCCAGGGCTGTGCGCCATAGGGGAAGTATGGGGGGTCCCCATACCCCTCCCCCCTCACACCCACACCCTGCGCTGCTGCCTGCTCCTTGGGCGAGGGCTCCATGCTGCAGCCAGCCCCACGCTCCGCACTCCCACACAGCTGCAGCCCCGCTCCAGGCCCCTGCTGGCTGCTGGGAGGGAGCAGAACACGGGGGAAGCCTGCAGCATCAGCCCTGCCCCATGCTAGCGGGGCCCTTCCACCCGTGAGTTTGGGAACAAGGCATAATAGAAATACCAGTAGTCACAATGAAATTAAAAAACACTCCCTAAACCTCTCAGATGTATCTGAAATAAATACACATGCACATATATATATGTGCATGCATATGTATTTTAGAGGGGTGTAGGTTGTAGCCGTGCTAGTCTAAGGACATAGACAAGGTTCTTTGGGTGAATCTGATATCTTTTATTAGACCAACTTAAATAGTTGGAAAACAATTATTAAGCAAGCTTTCAGGTTCAAAAACCCTTCATCAGGCTAAGGAAGTTTCAGCAGTTGGTGTGTGCTCTTCCTGGATGGAATGAAAAATAAAGAAGCCAGAGGCTGGTCTGGTATGCCTACAAGACAGGCAGTCAGTGAAAATGTAGATTGAGGAGTCAATGGGTGAGACAGAGAAACCTGGGGAGTCGGATGTCAGGCAGGTTATAATGTGTCATAAATACAACGTCTATATTTAGTATTTAGTCCATGATTTTTAGTATCCAGGAGGTTGAAGTGGAGTTCATAGGTTTGTCTCTGAGAAGTGTTTTGTAAGTTTCCTTTGAGGATCAGGACTGAGAGATTGGCGACAGAGTGGTTTTCTTGTAAGAAATGTCTCCCCACAGGTAATTGGGTATTTCTGTCTTTGATAGATTTCCAGTGTGCATTCATTCTGGTGCACAGTTGTTGTTTGGTCTCTCCTATATATTTTCCATCTGGGCATTTGGTGCTTTGGATGAGAGAGATTACATTTCTGGAGGTGCAGCTGTAAGATCCAGGAATGTATTTTAGATGCATCTGAGATAGGTTTAGGGAGTGTTTTTAAATTTCTTTTTATAGTTATAGATATTAACGTGTTATGTGCAGGCAAAGTGAATTGCACATCTTGGATGAAAAGCAGTCATATTGCTAAGTGTCACTATTTGGGGTGATCTGCTTTACCACTTGGGAATATTGCACCTATCCCATGCTCAGTCATATTGATAAGGTTTTATTTACCACACCATGTACTTTTGATCTAATTATTAAAAAAAACCCCAAAAACATGGGGAGAGGAAATGGCAGTTGAAGCTGGAAGAGCCAGAACAACTCCTGAAGCAAGTACTGTTGATGAAATTAAAATCTCATAAACACCAGCCAAAAAATGGCATTTGTCCAGTCCATTATGCTTTTGAGCTTGGGTTTACAATACTTGACTTGTTTTCTCCAAAGAAAAAAAGAGTGTTGATGTGATCCATTTAGTTGCAAATTATTTCTCCTCCTTTCCCTCCCCCCTTCTGCCTCCTGATGATGCTAGCACTGAAAATATGGTTTCTTTGTATTTTTTTTCTTGAATAGCTTTGCTTACTGGTCTAAACTTATCCCTGGTGTCATTGTGTTGACTTCAGTGGAACTGAAGACATAGAAATGTTGATATTTTTATTTTGGCTTTCAGGGCACTGCTATGTGTGAGCTGTATGGCATTGCTAAAAAAGAAAGCACTTTGGGCTTGAGACTTGTATATCTGGTTTTTAGAAGAAATACATAAAAGTGGAGTGGTGACTCTTCCCTTCCCACCAATGCAGGGACTACAAAGGAACTGCTAATACAGTGTTTATGTGGTGCTGTAACAACATGGGGGCCTGTAAGCATTCTCTTGGAGACCTCTGTAAAATATAAGATGAGCTACTAGCAGGTGATTTAGGCTCTGCATATGTTAGCACTTCTGTGTTAGGACCTAAAACAGTTCACGTGTTTGTACTACAAAACTTCCTCACTCTGCTGGAATTGGACTTCCTTAAAGAAATTAATGATAAATGAAGCTCGGCCTCCCTTCAAGTTGTACCAGTCCTAAGGTGCCTATCTTAGGACTGCTCAGCCCCAGACGTCATTTGCTCACTCTCTCTAGCTGTTCAACTTCAGTTTCCTTACATAGAGGAAGACAGCAACCCTCTTGCCTCAGCGAGTCAGCAGAAGCTACTCAGCATTTCCTTTGGGGGATCAACGTCTAACAGGATGAGATGGTTCAGGCAAATGCTGCAACCTGCTCCAGGTCTTTAATCCTTTGTTGTATTTGTGCAAGTGTTGCACAAGAATAGTTTTGCTCTCACTGAAGTTGATCCCACGAGGAAGTTATATTATGAGGGCCTGGTGTCTGGAGGTACTGAGAGACCTAGGTGAGGCTCCAAAGTGTGGAAGGGGTGAGTTTCACTCATGTTTCCTAGAAGACCAGATTCTGATCCTCTGTGAAAACAGCCATTTTCCCAGTTAAGAAGCAGCCTGCTTCAGAAGAAACCACTGGTAGAATAAGTTATGATTAGACTCTGAAGAAAATTGGATATTCAAGGAGCAACTTCAACCTGAGAACAAGAAAGATATTGGAATCTGGTCCTTTATTTCTGTAATAATTTAAAAAAATTCTGTACTGTAAATAGAAACAGATTTCAGGGAGAGAACAATGCCATTCATTATAAAATAGGTGCAGGCTTTGTCAGACCTCAACGCCCGGGATTTTATGGTACGGACACTAGAATAATTTGCTGTGTCCTTGCTGGCAGTCCTACACTCCAGGAAATGTAAGATAGAAATTTGAGGGGAAAAGGACAGCAAGCCTTTCTGCATCATGGGGCGCACATGCTGGAAACACTTAGGCATACAATTGGTTTCAATTGGGTGACTCATGCTTGAAGTTATGCATGCACACAAGCATTTGCAGGGGCTCTGAGCATATTGGCTATCCTTATTCCAAGAGCAGATTCCTAGATTCTTCTCCCTCCAACAAAGACTCTCCAATACAACTTGATATTTTTGTTTTTGTTCTAGGAAAAAGTATTAAAGAATGGCACAGAAACCTTTCAAATCTGGGAGAACCCTCCTCCCCCCGTCTACATGCAGTTCTATTTCTTTAATTTGACAAATCCTTTAGAAGTGATTAATGGAGCAACCCCTTTTGTGGAGGAAATAGGGCCATATACCTACAGGTGAGTGGTTCACTAGCTATTTACACAAGCAGGTGTTGGGGTGGGGAAGCAAAGAAGAGAAAAGAACTATGGGTGCCTATACATGTGCTCCAAGGTATTTTAATTAGACCACGTCGGAGCAAACTCAGTTGAGTTTGCTGGAGTGTCCACTTGCTGCACCATCACATGTATTCAGTGTACCACATTTCAAAATGGCAGCGGGGGTGCTTTAACCAAAGCTTGTCAAATGAGCTTTAGTTAAAGTGCCTCTGCTGCCATTTTGAAACAAGACATTGAATACATGTGACAGTGCTGCATATTCATTAGAATGGCTCTCTGGGAGCCCATCCCAAAGCACATATGTAAACACTCTGTGGTCCTCTAGCAGGCTTCCTAGAAAAAAGGTACCTGTAACTATGTTATGTGCTAAGGTACAAAGGAGGAAGTAAAAATGTTGTCCTTTTTTGGAGCCAGTTTTTGTCTGTACAGGGGACAGTTACAAGAGGGGAAAGTATGAAGATTTTCTTCAGCCAACCACTTTGTGGACCTTATTTAGGTCCTGAAGTAGTTGCCATCATTAAAGAGATTGGGGAAGATGCAGGACAAAGAGGGGCCACAAGCAGGGTTGGAGAATCCCAGCTCCTGATGGGCTGTGGCTCCACACCGTTCATCACAGGCCTGTGCTTAGTGGCACAATATGGCCCGTGTGTGTGTCTTTTAAAGTCACTACAGTTCAGCTTTCCTCTAGAATTTGATTCTGCTCCCCAGTACACACCAGTGTAAAGTGGGAGTGACACTATTGCAGTGGGGTTTTGTGCTTTTTAAAACTGGGGTAAGGAGGATACTTGAGCCTAGAGAACTTTTCTTCATTGGCTGCACCATGTACAGTCACTTGCAGCCATACAAACTCGGAACCAGGCCCCTAGCAGTGGTTGAAAAGATCCTGTGGAGGGGAAGGGAGAATCTGCTTTGTTAATGTTTTAGAGCCATATGAACTTATGGGGATGTCTTCCAATTTTAATTTCTCTCCTCTCTGCCTTTTCTCCTCCCACACCTTGGCATCCTTTTGCTCTCACTGCCTCTCCTGCTTTTCTCACACCCTCTTCTCTTCCCCTCTGCTGCCCACCCCTCTGTATTTCATCATTGTATTCAATCCAGTTCCTTCCCTGTCTTGTTCCTCCAGACCTTCTGGCTCCTGTCCTGTAGTGTAGTAGCTCTGCTTGTGCAGCATCCAATGCTGCTGCTGTTTGCTGGTGCAGCAGCTCTGACAAACCATGTGAAGTGTTTTGGCAGAACTTGCACTGATAACTTGTCAAAGGTACCATCCTCCTGTTGTCAGACAAGTAAATTGAGCCAGCTTGACCTTTTATAAGGCCCTATATGAAATCATGCATGCAGGGTCCTCCATCTCCTGGCACGTATGTGCCATCCCTGTCTTCTTCCCTCCTCTCATCCTCTTCAGGATGTACTCCCCCTGTCCCCCCCATACTTCTCCCTACACATACCTGTGAGGATACGTATCTTCCATGAGCAAGAAAGCCAGCAGGTAGAGTATCATTGAATATCAATGATCCGAGTGGGGAAAAATTGATAGAGGAATTCAGTCCCTGCTGAGGCTCTTTGGCTCCAGTGCCCAATGAGATGGAGAGCAGGGATTCAGGGATAGTAGTGGGGTTTGGATTGGAGACAAGGTCCAGGACAGACAAATTAATCAAGAAAAAGAACATGGGGGAATGAAGCTTGGGGTTGA